GCACAGGGATGAACAAGACTCCTGCTGGCTCGGAGAAGGTCAGGTCCAGCTGCGGAGGGGCAGGGGCTACGCAGTGTTGCGTGCAGGGTGTCACATGTGATGGCAAAGCCACCTGGAGCACAAAGAACAAGCCAGTCACTGTGTGCAGGGCTGGTGGACAGTGAAATGAAATGGAGTCAAGGGGGAATCTGGGTCCTTTAGCAGCCCGATCTGGAAATGACGTGGGCAGTCTTGGAGGAGCTGTCTTCTCTTTCCGGACAATGGCAAAGAAAGGACAATGCTCAGACATTTCTCAGCTTTGCTTCCTGTTGCTTCAGGAATCATCTGTGCTCTCAGAAAGGGAAGCAGGGCTTTAGATTTTCAGGAAGATAATATAATTGTGATTAATATGTTCCTCATGAGCCATAAAACTTTCAAGGCCAAGGATGTGTGTATGTGCCTCGCCACTGGGGGCCAGGACCCAAAGTAATAAACACACAGAAGCAAAACAAAGGTTTGCTGGGTCCTTAGATCCAAGGACTGTGTAGAAGCAACGTTGCTGTGTGGGCCCCATCATGCTGCTTATGTGCTGAGGGACGCAGGGAGCAGGGCCCGGGAGCTGCGTGGGAGAAGTTCAAAAGGTCACAGACATTCAAGTTGCAGCTGCACTGCACCGGGAGGAAGCAGTTAGCTGGTCGCCTTGCCGCCCAGGACTCTGCCTCCCAGGACCAGGACAAGATAGGAACCGCAGATCAGAGAGAGTGCAGGACCTTCAGCAAGGGTGGTGCGGCCACACAGCTCAGCACCCCCAAAATTCCACTCTGCTTTCTCGGTAAGCGGTGAACTGAAGAACACTGACACCCCCATCTTTTCACTCTGAACCTGTTCTTCAGTGATAAAGAGGCGTCTATCCCAAACGATATCTGGGCGGATATCAGTGTCTGCAGCAGGACCCCGGGGCCAGGGCTAAGTCGAGTCTCTCCTGACAGCCTGCAGCGAGGCGACCCACAGTGTGTGCTCAGTCTGGCACCTGAGGAGCTTTTCCTTTTCCAGTGCTGTCACAAAGCTGCAGGAAATGCTGCAGCCCATTCAACAAAGGCTGCCACATCGCACGTCTGGAAAGCTGCATTCTGAGGAGACAGCGTCAAGAAAACAGCCTCTCAAGCTATCGCCCCAGGGAAAACCCAGATGCCATATTCCCTGCAGCTCCCTGCTTTCAAGCCTCACCACTATCTCCAGTCTTGCATTTAGTGAATCTTTACTGCTCCAGACTAGAGACCATCAAGGGTCCAGGGTAGGAGCAGTGACAATCACAGAGACAAAAGTTCTGAACTCGCAAGCCACATTCCAGTAGGCTCTACTTCGTAATTCTCATTAGTCTAACCTTGTCTTGATCTAAGCCCTGAAAAGGGTTTTAAAGCACAAAACTCCTGCTTAGACCACAGCTGGAATGTGACACAAATAGATACCTGAGAGAAAGAAAACAGGAAAAGGATGCAAATAAATAAATATATGACATCGGATGGCGCTGATGCCATGGCAGAAAACACCACCGGATGAAGATGTCAGGAAGTGCTGGGAGGGGCCAAGTTCACGGTGGCGGTCAGAGAGCTATAGAATCCTCTACTCAGAAGCCCAGCTGAGATTTGAAATTTTTCCACCCATGCATCAGGGAGCCACACCTGAGATGTGTCATTCTTCTTTTTTATATTTTTCTGAGTCCATGTTTGCAGTACATAACGACCTTACTCGTTGTGTGGAGCTGGGCAAGGACAGATGCCTGTCAGTCCTGGTGTGTCCTCTCCCCGTCCTCTATCTCTTGGTCCCCTGGGCCATCTGAAATGATCTGTCTCCCTGTGTGTTATTATCTATCTTTTCTTTTGCCCTTCATGTACACTTTGGGTTTATCCTGTAGGCGAAACCACGAGTCTGATTCACCTCACAGAGCATTATGGTCTCCATGTGCCTCGGAGAAGGGTCAATCTGAGTCCTTTGCAGAGATGTCTCTTCCTGAACCCCAAGAAGGGACATAAGGAATTAATGCAGTGGCCTTCTTACCAACACACTGTCATCCCAAACAACTTCACGCTCCCGCTGCGGCGGCAGGACAGTGCCTCAGCCAGGCGGGAAGGAAGTACTACCAATTAACTTCTCACGCCTAGGGCCCTCCTTACGACTGCAGCAACAGCCCGGAGTGGGTGACCATCTCCCTAAGTATCAGCAAGGCCCGAGGAGGACAGCCGGGTCCCCCCTTGCAAGTCAGCACCCAACTTGTGTCAGGGACGGCTATGCCTCGTCGCTGACAGGCTTGGAGGCTTTAGCAGGTATTTCCAAATCTCCTACACCGCATGATTTACATGCTATTTCTTTCCCTAAAGCACACTCGCTTCAAAATAACCAAGACACATCAGATATTTGAACTTTAAATCTGTCTGAGGTTGACATTTTTCTTCTATTTGAATCCACTTCATTTGATGATAGTGATACTTAAATCCTAGTATTTGCCTAAGCACAAACAGAATGATAATACTTTTTACAATTCTGAGTTAATATTCAGGGTGACAACTGTCCATATGTGGTCATCAGGAGTCATATGCATGTATTTCTTTAAATATTTAACTTATTTATCCCAAATGAACTTCCTCAATCCAAGCAGAGCACCACGTGCAAAGTTTACAAAGAAGCCTTTTAGAAAAGGCTGGATGACTCTGCTGGTCTCCTAAGTGTGAAAAGTCCATTTAGCTTTGACCTCATATCCTTCAAAGGAACTGAGAAAATATGGACCATGAGAGAATGCACTTAAGCAGTGACTGGCCTCACAAATCTATGACAAACACACAGATGTGCAGTCACACTCAGGAAACACTGAGTGTGTGGAAATACATGAACTGGAGGAAAATCAAAGGCCCTAAGTCCTCTACTTCCCAGAATGGTCAACCTCTACTTCCCCTGCAGTTATACACGTTATGTCATCATCATCTCAAAAGTCATGCCGAGATAAATAACATGCAGACATTAATTATGCAGGCCCATTGTTGCTAATATTGCACGCAGAGCAAACACATTTTCTATTTTATAAACACACACAAAAAATCTTAAAACATCTTTGAAAGGTCAGCTTCTGACTTCTTCCAACTCAATTTGCCTCCCAAATTCTTCCGTCCCAAATCCTCTAACAGTTTGGTAAAGGGAGGTGCAGTGTGTACTGTGTTTCCAAGCGGCTGGTTAGTTGAGGTAGTTTAACTAGTACTTACTACTGAAGTTATTACTAAGCCAGTGTTGTGCCATGTAAACTCTGTGGTAAAGGAGAGAGGCTTCACAGTTTACCCAGAAATTGTTTTAAAATCTTTACATCATCTCTCTATAAAATATATTTTGCTAATGTGGATAATTGTCAGTTGACTCAGCTCAGTAGTCTTGGTCTAACATTATTGTTTATGGAAAAGCAGAATGTATTATGAGTGTGGGCTATTATGTGTTGGCCACGCCAACAGGCCTGGATTCTTGAATAACTTGGTTATAACCCAGTAGCCGCCAATGGAATGACAGGTGGACAGGAGCATCAAATAATTTTTGTCAGTGTTGGCTAGTAATTCATGAGGCAAAAACTGTATTTTTTTATGATTATCCTTCATTTAAATTTTTACAAGAGAGGATAAATCTTATTAAAATGGAAAGGAAGTTGTAGTAAAGACCCTAAGGTATCAGATACCAAAGAAGTTGGGACAAACCAAACACTGTAGAAACTTGTGAAACTACACGGACCTTCATGTGTCAAGGGTGTTAAATAGCAAAAGAGAGAATCAGAGATTACAGAAGGAAAGGTTTTTTTTAAAACGTGTGTCTTTGTGAGTGTGAGTGTGTGTGTGTGTGAGAGAGAGAGACAGAGAGAGAGAGAGAGAGAGAGAGAGAGAACAGTTATGCCCAGTAGAGCTGATTTCCAGCCTCCTGAGTATGGGGGACAGTTATGAAGACTTCTGGTGTTGCCTCCCACTTGGAAAATCTAACATGTGGCTACTTATTCAGCAGGAATAAATACACTATTAGCGGTGTTAGGTTGAGTGTACCTGCACTTCACAGTTCACTGGGTCAAAGTGTGACCCAGGTGCTTCTGGCACGCTCCCAAGAGAGAGCCAGGCCATCGAGATTCCAGCTGTTGACCAACAGAACCTCTTGGAAAGACAGTGGCCCCACAGGAGGCTGCCGGTACTTGTGACTTGCTAGTTATTTTACAAATGAAAAGCAACCCTCCAGGGGGTACACGCCAGCTCAGAGCAATAATGCAATATGTCAGTCAGTATTTTCCAGCCTCTCTTTCCTACCCTCTCTCCTGTATTCCAACCCCTGAGAGCCAGGAATAAGGGCTGAGGCAGAGGGGTAAAAGCTTTATGCACACGTGGTGCTGTAGGAAGAACATGCTGCTGCCAGGAGGGCTGTTGTAGCCGAGCGCAATTAGCAACTCTCACAATTCCCTGGGGCTGGACTCGGAGATTATGAAATCGACACACTTTGTGACTTAAAGCAGCCACAGGACTTCGTATTTTCGAAGAGTGAGCAGGAGTTTCATGAGGTTTGCCAAGGTTTTATCTAGAGGCAGAAGATGAATTATAAGAAACCAGTGAGTAGCAAAATAGTATTGCTTTAAGATTAGATTTCACCAATCCTAACAATTGTTATATATAAAAAGGAAAAAATCTTGATTCTCTGGCTGTGGTCTGAATAAATCGCTGTATTTATCAGATCCGTGTACATGAGAGCTTCAGTCATTTGGTTCCGTGTAAGGTTCTCAGTAAGGGACTAAATGCTTTAGTTGATGTTACTTGACAGCCACATTCCTGCGGAATGTTCCAGGGCTTACACAGCACTTCCACACACCTTATCTACCCTTTCCGGTAACCAGGGCAAGAGGAGGAGGAACTACTGGCTAAGGAAGTTACTCACAGGTTCAGGTGCAGAAACTACAGCCCCAGTCCAGGTCCCTGAATCCTCCCCTGAGGCCTGTTTCACTCCACCACAACGACCAAGGTTGAACTGAGGAAGCCTAAACTGGATCTAACACCAAACTGTACTAAAAGCAATCTGGCTGCAGACTCTTTGATACTTTGGTTCTCTGACTTTGATTTCCATGGGATCCTTGCTATGCCCTTACAAGACTATCCTTTTCTATGGACTCCACATGGGTGAGTGTCTTTTATTTCACATGGGAAAATTTCTTTTATTTCTGTACATTTTACAGTGTTTCCCACTTGTAAACCTAGATAGACAGGGGTAGGAAACCGGTTGAAGGGAGGTAATATTCACACCAGGGAGGTCTCCAGGGGCTGGCAAAGTACACTCTGGCCCTTGGGGGATCCCCGGCTCAGACTGCTGGCTCTGGCCATGCTGATTTCCCATTTTTACCCTCGCTCACAATTGAACTCTTGTCCTCCTGAACTACCTAGCAAAAGGCTTTTCCTCTTTTAATGCCTGGCTACAGCGTTAGTATGCAGTCTCCTCAACTGCAGCCACCCACAGTGGTCCTTCCTTCATCTGAATCTCTGTAGAAACTGACAACTTACTGATATGTACTGATTACTTATGGTGTTTGTGTCTCACTGTTCCAGAGACTAAAAGGTTTTCAAAAAACAAGCTTCTAGCTTCTGTGTTTCTGTAATCTGCCTGATACTAAGCATACTAAGCATGATAAAGATTCAAGAAAGCAGGGACATTTGTCCTTTTATCTTTAAGTACTGCCAGCCTGTACTTACATGAAATTTCAAAAGACAAAGTCAATTTATTCTCATTTAGGAACACTGAATAACAGTATCAAAGTCAGTGCAATTCTGGTGTGAGTTAGGAGGCTTCCAGTTTTTGGACAGCCCCACTTTTATTTAACCCTAAAGAGACCTTAACCTATGGTGCTGCTATGGTTTAGATCCAGTGTTCCCCAGATTCTCATGTGTGTGGAGGGTGCTGTACTCATTGGTGGATGCGTCCCTTCCATGAGTTGGTGCACATTTGCTGTTAGGAAGTGGGCCTTGCACGTGGTCCCCTGCTCCTCCCTTTTCTCTCTGCTCCTGGGTGCCCCAGGGAACAGCAAGGCCTCCTCCTTCTACCACGCCACGCAGCTGGGGAGCATGGACTAAAACTGAGCAGAAATAAACCGCTCCTCCTCTCAGCCGAGGGTGTCAGGGATCCGTCTGGGTGCCGAGAAAGTGACTAGGACAGGTGTGTTCCAGAACAAAAATCACCTCTCAGTGCCACATGGGAACTCAGAGTTCTTCCATTCACTGCAAACACAGCCTAAAACTAGTCTCTAATTTACTGTGGAACGATTATCATTTTGTGCTCTAGTTCTGATGAACAGCCACGTATCTATAGAAATGCAGTCTAATGTAAACATCTTTTATAATGCCATCATCCGTTCACCAAATATTTGTTGAACACCTACTATAAATTCGCTAGACAATGTTCTAAGGCTCTAGGGTTCTTCATAAAAGACCTCATGGAGAATACATTTTTTTTGGAAGAAACAGTTAAAATATGAAATTATAAGGGCCGGGGATTTAGCTCAGTGGTTCTGCCACCTGCCTCACAAATGCAAGGACCCGAGTTTGATCCCCAGTACCAAAAAAAGTGAAATTATACAGCATAATGGGTGATAGTCAAAGCTATGAAAATATAAAGCAGCAAATAGGAACCGGGCATTTAAAAAGAGGCCAGGGAAGGGCTCTCAGCGGAGGGACAGCTCAGACTTCTGAATGCCCTGAGGAACTTTCTAGCTAGAAGCGACAGCAAGGGCAGATAGGAACATCTACAAAACAAAATCTAGCATGCCAGTGTATTTATAAAGTGGAAAAATAATATTTAATATTAAATAAAGTAATATTTAATAATTAAAGCCTCTATTTAGAATCATTTTGAATATGTTTCTTTTTCTAGATTTTAAAATATTTTTATTTTTATTAGTCCACGATTGCAGTGCGTAATCACATCCATCATGAGAGCTGGTGCATGGACACAATGCATCTCAGTTCTTTTTACTTCCCTCCCTCCCTTCCTCTTCCTCCAGCTTAGTCCCCTTCCCATTTGCAAAAGGGCAAATGTTCCTATTTCCCATTATCTTTTATTTTGCTCTTTATTTATACTTTCAGTTCCTCTTGCAAGAGAAGCCATATGATATTTGAGCTTCTTTGTCTGATTTCTTTCACTTTACATTATGGTCTCAAGTTGCATTTGTTTATCTGTTCCCCTACAAATGACTCAAACTTATCCTTGTTTATAGCACAGAAGTATTCTATTGTTAAGATGTAAGTATTGCTAAGTGCTACACAATCTTCTCACTAGTGACTTGGAATAACTCACCTGACCCTCATAGCAATACTTTTTTTTTTTTGAGACACTCACTATGCAGCCCAGGCTAGCCTTGAACTTGTAGTGTTTCCCCTGCCTCACCCTCCTGAGTGCTGGCCTCAGAACAATATCAACTATTAGTATTATCATTCCCATTTTACAAATGGGGAAACAAAGCACAGAGAGGTTAAATAACTTGTGCCAGGTTAAACCCTAGGAGAGGGCAGAACCGGTGGGTCTGGTTTGAGTCCCTTCTCTACCTACTGTACCACACACCCTCTCCAAACAAGGGTGCGGGGCTGTGCACTGAGCAGAACTCCTTATGAGGGCAGTAACAAGATACAAAGTTTCTGTCTTTTTAAAAACATTTCGGCCAATCAGCTTAAACGGAGAGAACACTTGGTTGCGCATTATTCAGAATCAAGATTCATCCAGCAGCAAATACGCACAAAGAGACTGGGTCCTGACGGGGCTGGCTCCACCGTGTCATGGCCAGGAGTACCCTGGAGATTTCCTTCTTTGAGCCCACCCTGGACACTGCCATCTGGCTTTCCCCGACGGCAGGCAGGAAATCACAGATGCACAGTGCTGCTAATACAGCAAGCAGATGGGGCCTGGCTGCTGCGGAGCACACATTCATAAAAATGCCTGGGTTCCTATTGGCCTAGACTATAGCTTGTTTGTTCTCCTGGGAAGGAAAAGGGGGGGGGGGGCAGAAATGCAGTTTTACAGATTTCTATAAAGAATCGGAGCAGAACAGTGAACCCTTTCAGCATGGGAATCACATGTCCGACCTCGGCAGGGCTGTGCCTCCCATTTACGAGCCCACAAGGGCCAAGCTGTGATGGCTCTGACAGACACAGTTTTACAAATGCATAAAGGAGACAGGACAGAGATTGTTTGCTAATGTGTAGGGCATTATTTTGTAATGACTGCTGTGTTTTACGGTGCTGATATTTCATTCAGATTAAATTATCCTGACTGAGTAGTTAGGGTGACTCTCTGCGGAGAGAAGGCGAAACCGGACTGCACCCTGCCTGGCAGCCTGGCACAGAACCGAGGCGGCGGGCGCGGCTCCTCGTGCTGCACGGGCGGCAGCCAGGGCACAGTGCTCGCGTTCCTGAGATAGTTTCCCGGGCAGCTCTGAGAAGGCTGTTCCATGTTAGAGAGCAATGACACTGCAATACTCATCCCACCCCATTACCATTCATGATCTCTCCCCACAGCACGACTCGCTGCTTTATAAACTTCTTATTCAAAATAATAAAAATTTTCTGTACCAAAACACGACCTTTTCATAACCCATGGCGTATTTCATGGCGGGGCTTGGGGAGAGTTTCGAACTCAGAGAGCTGTCTTCCCGGGCCGCAGGGTGTGTCAGAGTATCTGTGTCTCAGGTAATGAGTGAGGCCAACCAGGAGGCTCAAGGCTGAGACATCGGAGCCAGAGGTAAATAACTTCCAAATTCCTCCTCCTTAACCTGCTTCCCAATGGAAAGAAAGGCTGTGTAGGTTCCGCTCAAATCAAACACTTTCCTGATCCATATGAAATAAGGGAAAGCAAACACATGAAGCCTGTGATTAAGGTTATGTGATGAATCTTTTTCAGAGTATCGTTAAAAAGAAAATGGCTAATCAAGTAAGACTCCATGGTACGAAGGCAGAGAGAATACCAATCAACTGAAACGATTGTTTATGCTAAGACATGGACTCTGATAAATTCCTTTGGCTTCGGAAATTTTCCTCTTTGAAGTATGTTCTAGTCCAGCTTCAGCGATAAAGAGGCTGCTTCACATTGGACAACTCGATCAGCATAGCTCAGCCTCAGCTTTCATTCACTGAGATAACGAGTGACCAGAGAGGAGGGGGCTGGGGAGAAGACAGCCTTCAAGTTTCTTCCCTGAACCCCAATTCTCTAGCTCAATTCCACTGTGACCTGGATACTACTGAGTTTATCCATAAACGTGCTATGACCATGTGCTTTTTAGTCAGTGTAATTTATGACATGATTAAACTCAACCTTTCATAATTATTTCTAAAGTGAACTCTCAATTGATGATCACAGTTAAATGGATACAAAGTTGTAGATACCTGGAAATTACAGCAGTGTCACATTACCTATTTACTTATTTTTATTTTCTTTTTGAGGTACTGGGGATTGAACTCAGCTATAGCCCCAGGTTTTTTTCTTTACTTTTTGTCAGCTAGGAGTCTGCAATATATGAAGATAACTCCAGCATAAACAAACATTGTCTAGATATCCCAAACAGATCGCATGTGCATACAGCTAACATGGGAGTGTCCACACAGATTAACATCCACACATTCACCCTGCAAATGTTTTGAAGTCTTTTATGCTCCAGTGCCTAAGGTGCAAATTTGTACAACATGTGGTTCTTCTCCATGAAGTCTGAGCAGTACAGTGGCCATGGCACCAAACAGAGGGGAGGAATTATATTTTAGAGGATCCCAGAGGAAGCTGGGTATGGCAGTGCACACCTGCAGTCCCAGCACTTGGGAGGCAGAGGTGGGAAGATCAAGTCCCAGGGCAGCCTGGGCTACATAGCAAGGCCCTGTCTCAAACAATGCAGCAGCACAAAGATCCCAGCAAAGGCTCGGAGTTCATTCCAGTGCTAACTCTCAGTTAAGAGAGAATCTATCTTTAGTACAAATTATTTCCTGTGACTGGCTGAACTTTCTTTTCATTCTTTTCTGTTATATCACGAGTACAGATACAGAAAAAAACCCAGCCCCTTTCTTCTGAGGTAGAACAATGTATCTAAAAGCCTCAAATTTCACTTGCACAACTGCAATAATTTTACATCTTTAGCCTTCTCAAAATGTTTTATTTTATGGAGGCGAAGCACTACAAGCACATTTCCTGACTTTTAAACTTTATTTTCTACCCATTAGTCATCTGTGTAGAATTCTTCTGAATTCTTTCCAACTGTTTTCAGTCTTTTCCATGAGCTGAAGAGTCCCAGCTCAGATATAAGGATTTAATTAAGGAGTAATAAAATAGCAGATGTAAATCATCATTCCAGAGTCTATACATACTTTTTATTCTTCCAGAAATTTCAATGTTTTTAAAACTTCGCATTTACTGACTCACAATGAACACATCACGGTCCTTCTAGTTTTCATTTATATTTTGCATCTTATATTCATGTGTCTTGTTTAGTCTTCCAGGCTTGCAACCCGCATTTGCCCTTGTTACAGCCGTGCTTTAGGGCTGCAGCTCTTTCCTAGTTTATGTGTCTAAAACAGATACCATTGCTTATTGGTCTTCAAGCCCACCCTTCTGCCCTTTTCCATGTTCTGGGATCACACCCTTCTCTTACTGTGGAGAAAAGTCATACTGGGTCGTATGAACTCACGTTAGCCTGGCCAAGGCAAGCAGGCGACTGAGGCGCGACAATCAAAACTTGAACCCTAGGGCCGGGGATTTAGCTCAGTGGTTTCGCCGCCTGCTGTGCAAGTGCAAGGACCCGAGTTCAATCCCTGGTACCAAACCCCCCCCCCCCCCAAAAAACAAAACTTGAACCCTGGGCCTCAAGGGTATCCTGTTTTCATCATGGGAAGGCAAATCAGGTGGACCATGCAGGCCCAGAGCTACCAGTGAGTTCCTTCCCTGCCCCATGAAGAAGCTGACCAAAGAAGGACAGTCACAAAGGACACCAGAGGGAGCAATGGCATAAGACTAAGCCTGAGAGCATCTTTCGTACCCGGAGCAGTGCCTTACTCCTGAGGAATTACTTCCACATTGGGAACATCAGGCTCAGTACATGTTGGATGTGGCTGCATAGCAGCTGTGTCTTTGCAATGTCTGTGGGCAGGAAGCCATGAGAAAAGGACATAGCTACATTAGAATTAATACAGGCAGCAGCAGCAATAATGGCATGCTATCCACATGTACATTACACAGTTTGAAAGTGGGCATACAGGTTGGAAAACCTGAGGTGCAATTTTTTTTTTTACCAATGGATAGCATGGAGGTGTTCTCTCTTCTAAGAATTCAAGCAGAAGGAGCCATCTCTCGAGGCTGCATGGTACATGTGATGTCTCAGTCCTCCACAGCTCATCTTTGACCTGCACCAGTTAGTTCTGAAAGCTCTGGGAAGAATCAGGTTCCCCATGTGTATATATCTAAAATGCCTGCTGTCACTGAAATAGAAGTGAATTTATGAGATTAATCCTGAGAGGGGAGTTAATTCTTTCTAGGCACTCTGCCTGTGCAGTTGCCCACGCCAGAAATCTGAGAATCATCCAGGACTTTCTTTTTCTGCCTCTAAATCAAACCAGTCACCCAGGCTTGACATCTATACTTTACAAATATTTTTTGAATCCATTCATTTCTCTTCATCTACACTACTGCCACTGTCTATAGCCAGAGCATCAGCACCCTTTGCTTGACTGATAGCGTTAAGCTCTCAACTCCTCTCTGCATCCACCCATTCCCTGTACTGTAGTTAGGATCTTAATGTCCCCCCCAAGCCCACAGGTTGAAGGCCTGGTCCCCAACCCATGGCACCACTTGGAGCTGGTGGAGCCCTTAGGAGTGGAGCCCCTGGAAGTTAGTTCATTGGGGTGTGTCTGTGATGGGGACTGGGCCACCCCCCTTTCTCTGTGTTTGCTTCCCCTGCCCCACGCTCCCCTCCCAATATGGTGCTTTGCCACAGGCAAACACAACAGGGACAACTGACCATGGATTGAACCCTCTGAAACTGTGAGTCAAGCTAAACCTTTTCTCTCTCTTTTTTTTTGTTTTTGGTACCAGGGATTGAACTCGGGACCTTGAGCTTTTGAGGCAGGCAGCGGAACCACTGAGCTAAATCCCCCGCCCAAACTTTTCTCTTTTTAAGTTGACTATCTCAGTATTTTGTTACAACAATGGAAAGCTGACACATTCTACAACCTATCCTTTAAACAACAATGAGGGAGGGCTTTCCAATGGCAAAATACATCATTTTTTTCTAGACCTTTCAGTGCATTTGCATTACCATGAGGATCTAGGCCAAAATCCATGCTGTCCCCTTTCTGCTGTCTTAAAGTTCCTCCAATAATGCACTGTTCATTCACACAATAAGGTGTTCCTTCCAACAAGGACCTTGTGTTCCCTACTCTTAACCTACAATTCCTACTACTCTGGTGCACTGTTTCCAAATGCCTCTTCCTCAGGGGGACTTTGTTTGACCTCCTACTATATCAAGTCCCCCAATTAATAATTCATTAAACCCTAAAGCTTCTTGGTTTAAAGCCTGTCACCATTACTAGACTTTAAGTTTTCTGAGGGCAAGGGGGTATAGATTTTGTTCCTTTCTTACTCCTTTTACTATAATGGAGGGATTATTAATTATCCTGCTACCTATATAATTAACTTTATTCCCTTCCCCCCCCAATTAACATCTGACAACATATCGGCCCCCTCCCTCAATGGGACCAATGTTGGGAAACAATCCTCCATGGGTCTCCTCTTTTCTTCATGGTTTACTAGCAGAGGCACTGCAGCTTTGGCTCTGTGCTATCTTTTTAAGAATGTGTGGACCATTCTGAAGATAAAGACAGCGTGTTCTGGGGCCGGTGATTTAGCTCAGTGGTTCTGGCGCCTGCCTCAAAAGCGCAAGGTCCCGAGTTCGATTCCCCGTACCAAAAAAAAAAAAAAGACAGTGTGTTCTTCTGCAGCAGGGCAAGACTGATTTAAAGGCTGGGTGTGGTGGCACATGTCTGTAGTGCCAGCACCTGGGAGGCTGAGGCAGGAGGATCACCACGAGTTTCAGGCTAGCCTGGACTACACAGTGAGACCCTGTCTCAAAAACAAGACAAAACAAAATGAGTGATTTAAAGATGTGCAAAGATGAGGAAACTTTGCTTGTATCCATTATAAAAGGTTGAGGTTTCCTAAACTTGGAGACCCTGTGCTGCGATGGGCACCAGCTGTGCACAGCATCCTCCCCAGCCTGCTTGGTGTTGCTCTTTGTGTTCTCATGGGCAAAGGGCACTAACACAGGCATGGGGCTGTGTGGCTTCCTGTGCCAGGAGTAATTAAATTACTTTGTTCTGACCCCAAATTCTTCTCTCCACCAGTTTTCAGAAAGCAGAACAGCTTGATAGGAAGCAAGAAAGGCAAAAGGTCAGAACTATCAGAATTCCTGACAATAAGGAGGTCATTTTTGATCTGTAATCCTTAACATTTACAAATACTTTATTTTTATTTTGTAATTGATTTCCTACCAGAAATTCTTATTTTGAGGTAAAAGTACAGGCTTCATGGGCCCTGTGAACCCCCACATAAGCACAGTACTTGAAATGAATAAATTGCTTTTATTAAAATTTCAAGGAGCCAGAAAAAAATTTATGAATCATCTAGGGGTACATGCTCTTTATGAATATTATAAATTTATTAGGATATGTTTTAAAGCAGTGATTTTTCATTAAATATATATATTTTTTGGGGGGGGGCACCAGGAATCGAACTTGGGACCTTACGCTTGGGAGGCAGGTGGAGGAACCACTAAGGTAAATCCCCAGTCCCTCATTAAGTATATTTTTAATGTCAGACATGTACAGTATATAATAGGAAGCCCTAATTTGTTGATCTCTTTCACCTCATGTTTTTGTCCCCAACTCCCTGAGGTGATATGAAGTGTATGGGAATCTCACCTAACACATGTGTATAATATCAATTAGGTAACAGACACTGTTCTAAGAAGTTTACATGAATCAACTCATTTATTACTTACAGCACCCATGTGAGATTGGCATTATTTCCCTATTATTAGAAGTACTCAATCAAGCATTAAAGAGAAAGTTTAAAGTTTTCAAAATTTGGTAGCTATATATAAAATCAACATATCACGAAACTCTGGTTAGGCATCTCTCCCTGCTAAACTTTCTTCTCCTCATATAAAGGGATTGAAATATTTGGGAACCCAAAACAAGAGAAAAAAAAATCTTAAGTTAGCAGAATCTCTCAGTAAG